TGATGTGCCTCTCTCTCTTCCTTTGCTTTCCTCTGTGTGTGCCTGCCTTTGGGTGTAGTCTGCCGCGGGCATGCCGTGCGCCCCGGCGTGCTCGCCTTCTTTTTGGCGACTGCAGCGGCGCCGGGGGGTCAAATGCGGAGCCCCAACCGCTGCTGCTCTGCCGCGTGTTGCTGCGGAGTGGACTCGTGCGGCGTGGCGCACTGGCGGGTTGACGGTTGGGCCGAGTGCGGGGACCGTGGCGGCTGCGGCGGCCCGTGCCCGGACTCTGGCGGCGCCCGACGGGCGGAGGGAGCGATTTATGTGCGTGCGGTATTTTAATTTAATTTTTTTTCTTTGGCTTTTCCCCTTCCACTTCTCCCGGCGCTGCGCCCGCACGGTTTGCGCCTGCGCCTTGTGCGTTTGGGTGTCTGTTTGTGTGTGTAACGCGTCTCTCTCTCTGCTCCGCTGCCTTGCGGCTGTCTCTCTCTTTGGCCGCCGGTGTCTGTGCGGGTGCAGGGAGGAAGTGAGCACAAAGCTAAAGAGGCGAGAGCGGGGAGGAAGCGAGGCTGCGGCGACAGAACAGCAACGACGGCAACAGCGGCGGTCAGCGAGGTCGAGTGAGGTGGAGGAAGACGAGGGCGATTTAAGCCGCGCATACCCACAAGGGAGGTAAAGGATAAGAGAAGCGAGGGGAGAGGAGGAAAGGCAGCGATGATGATGCAGCCGCAGCAGCAGCCAGTGATTGTGCTGAACCAAAAGACGGAGCGCCAGAGCGGCCGCAAGGCGCAGATGAACAACATTGAGGCGGCGAAGACGGTGGCGAGCCTCATCAGCAGCACACTTGGGCCGTGTGCGATGCTCAAGATGATTCTCGACCCAATGGGCGGCACGGTGCTGACCAACGACGGCAACTGCATCCTTCGCGAGATCGACGTGGTGCACCCCGCCGCGAAGCACATGCTGGAGCTCGCGCGGACGCAGGACGAGGAGGTGGGCGACGGCACAACCTCCGTCATTGTCCTCACCGGCGAGATCCTGAGCCTGGCGCAGCCCCTGCTGGAGCGCAACATCCACCCACTGAAGATCGTGAAGGGCTTCTCCCTCGCCCTCACCGACGCGCTGGCGGCGATCGAGGCGGTCGGCGCCACAATCGACCCGAGCGACGCGCGGCAGCTGGAGGCGGTGGTGCGGGCGTGCCTGGGCACCAAATTCAACTCCCGCGAGGACGATCTCATGTGCAAAATCGCCGTCGCCGCGACGCAGCGGGTTGTCGTGGAGAACCCAACAACGGGAAAGAAGGAGGTGGACATAAAGCGGTACGCCAAGATAGAAAAGATCCCTGGCGGGTCCGTCTCCGACAGCGTCGTGCTGGATGGTGTGATGTTCAACAAGGACCACATTCACGCCAAGATGCGGCGCCGCATTGAGAACCCCCGCATCGTCCTGCTTGACTGCCCGCTGGAGTACAAAAAGCCGGAGACGGCCATCAGCGTCGAGGTTGGGCAGGCGACAGACTGGGAGTCGCTGCTGAAGCAGGAGGAGGACTACGTGCGTTCGCTCTGCAACACCATCATCTCCTTCAAGCCGGATCTTGTGATCACTGAAAAGGGGGCCTCCGATCTTGCGGCACACTTTTTGTACAAGGCCAACATTACCTGCATTCGACGCCTGCGCAAGACGGACAACAACCGCATTGCCCGCGCGACGGGGGCCACCGTCGTTAGCCGCATTGAAGAGCTGACGAATGACCACATTGGGCAGGCGGGGCTAATGGAGATCAAGAAGATAGGGGATGAGTACTTTACCTTTATCACAGGCTGCGGCGCGGGTAAGGCGTGTAGCGTGGTGCTGCGTGGTGCCAGCAAAGACATCCTGAACGAGATGGAGCGCAACCTGCATGACGCAATGTGCGTGGCCCGGAACATCATCCTCGACCCACGTGTAGTGTATGGCGCCGCCGCGTTGGAGATGTACGTCTCCTCCCATCTCATGAATCGCTCCAAGAGCATCACGGGCGTGCAGCAGGCCGCCTACCAGGCGGTGGCAATGGCGCTTGAGGTGGTGCCGCGCATTTTGACAAGCAACTGCGGCGCAAACGTCATTCGCACCGTCACGGAGCTGCGGGCCCGCCACGCCATGCCAGACGGCGACTTCTGGGGCGTCGACGGCACCACCGGCGAGATTGTTGACGTCCGCGAGCTGCAGGTGATGGAGCCGGCCGCCGTGAAGGTGCAGGCGCTGAAGACGGCCATCGAGGCCGCCTCGATGATTCTGCGCGTGGACGACGTCGTGTCCGGCACGAAGTTGCGTCACGAAAATGAGAGGCCCGCGCCGGCCGCGGCGAACAACGACGACGACCAGGGCGACGCCGCGGCCGCGGCGTGAGTGCGAACGGAGGCAAAGGGGGATAATGCGGCTGCCGTTTGCCCGGCCGCCTGTAAACATCGCCCCTCCCCCACCCACCGCCGTCTTGTTTTTATTTTGTTTTTACGTTTCACTGCGGCGAGCGGCGAGAGAGAGAGAGAGAGAGAGAAGGCGACGCCGCCGCCCAATCCGCTGCAGGGAGGCAAGAGCAACGCCGGAGGAGCGAAGTAAGCCCACACTATTAGGGAAGAGAAAAAGCAAGCAAACACAAGCAATGAAAGAAGAAGAAGAAGAAGGGGGGGGAAAAAAAATGGTAAGAACGAATTTTTATTTTTATTTTTATTTTATCTTACGTGCGTGCTGCGTCTGTGTGTGCCTTGTGCACGTCGCAGGGAGAGGAGAGAGGGAGCGAGGGAGGGAGCGGTGGTGCGCGCCTTTCTCTGCCTGCGTGCGTGTGACGGGGCGGCGGGGTGGGTCGGGGCTGCTGCACCTGACACACCCTTCATACGACACGCATGCGTGGCGGCACGCATGCGCACATAACTCTACACATACATACATATATAATCTGTTTACTGCGGCCGTGGCCCAGCACGGCCGGGGAGACGGGTGGACGCGCCGCTGCGGTGACCATGAAGGATGCCCCCACGCATGTGCACGTCTTTATTGTTATTATTATGTTGCAGCCATTTTTGTCTTGGTTTCCTGCTCTTTGTCTCTCTCTCTCTCTTCTTTTTTTCTCTTGGGTGCTGCTTCGCTTCCGGTTGAGGGGTGCTGCTGCGGCGCGGTTTACGCAGAGGGCCGATAGGCACAAGTGCGCGGGGCAGCGGAGGGAGCAGTGGGGCCAGCAGAGGAGGACACACGCAGGCACACAACCCACACGAGACTCTCCCCGTCCGCCCAACTGCTTTGGGACGAGGAGAGGTGAAGAGATAACTACGGCAAGGAACCCGCTATATATATATATATATTTACACACACACATACACACACACATATATATACACCGATACTGTATAATTACCTAAATCTTGTTAGAGTTGTGCTCCACTGGATAGCTAAAACACATACACGCACACACACACAAAGCACACGCGTCGGCGCACGCGCGCAACTCCCTGAAAAGGTGCTTTACTGCTAATGCTGCGTGCGTCACTCATGTTTTGCGGCGGTGGATTATTGCGGACCGTTGGGAAAGAAAAGAAGGTCGCCGCCGCCGCCGCCGCCGCCGCCGCTGCCGTCAGTGGCAAGGCCGCTAGTAGTAGTGCCGGCAGGAGGAGGAAGAAGACGGCAACGGCGCAGGCTGCAAGCGTGATAGATGAGGATTCTGCGCACATTATTCACGCCACGGATTCCACGCGTACTCGCTTTGATGGGGAGGTATCGCACCCCTCGTACGGGGGCGCCGCCGCTGGCGCCCGTGGCCGCAGGAGCCAGCGCAGCGATGAGGAGGTGCTGCGTGTGGCCGAGCGCATGCAGCGGCGGGACCTCACAGGGGAGGTCCCCGTGGCGTCCTTCGCCTACGAAATACTGAAGGCGCACCCGTCCGTGCGGCAGATGGGGCTGCGGGAGCGCATGGCGTTTCTCTGCGACCGCTGGGAGCGGCTCAGGAAGGAGGAGCGGCAGGCGTACCTCGACGACCCGCTCAAAGGCCTCCTCTAAGACGGCGGGTGGCAGGCGGACGGCGCCGAGAGGCAACATAAAACAAACCCCCCCCCAAAAAAAAAACAACACAAAAACACACACACTCGAAAAAGAAAAACCAGAAGGGGAACCGAAGGAGCTGGAAACTAAGAAAAGAAAGAACAACCAAAAAGAAGGGAAGAAGAGGTGGACCGAATGAGCCATCTGGGAGGAGGTTAGAAGAGGGGTTGCGCAAACGCATACACACGTGTCGAGGTGGAGGGGACGCAGGCAGAGCAGTGGGCGGCGTGCGCGTCCTCAGCCGTTTTCCCCGCTCGCTCGCACGTTTCCTCTGCCGTGCGATTGTTGATAGATGCTCGTCTCCCACCGACGACTCCTCTCACTGCCGCGGGCCACGCGCACTTGTGCACGTCGCCGAACGCGCATGTGCTTATAGAGTCCCTTTGCTTTGAGGCTGCGGCGGTGCCGAGGAGTTGCTAGTAGGCTGTCGGAAGTTGGTGGCGCTGCGGCGATGCGAGGTGCGTTTTTCTTCTTCTTTTTGCTTGCTTTTGTTTTTGCAGCACCGTCCCTGCCGCTCACCTCGCGCTTGGTTTCTCGCTATTGGCGTTGCTCACACGAGAGGGCCGAAATGCCCAAAACGGCCGCCACAAAAAAACAAACAAAAACAAAAGAACACACACGAAAAAAAAAAAAGTAGGAAGGGATGCATAAATGCATTTCCCTACGGGCTGCGTGGAGTTGCCACCACCTCCTTTTGCTCCTTCACCTCTGTTTTTTTTTTCTTGCACCCCCCGGCACTGCGGCTGCCGCCCCGCCAACCCGCACGCACCCGTGGCAGACGGCAACTGTCGGAACGGGCGGTGACGCCACGGTGGCCGTTTTTTACTTTTAAGAAAAAGTTTTACTCCCCCAACCCCCGCCCCTCTCTTTTTTTTTTTTGCTCCCCGCGCGCGCGCCCCTTGCGTCGGCCATGTGGCGCCTCCTGACGGCAGCCGCCCCGCAAAGGGCGGCGACCTCGCGTCTGGCGGCGCCGCTTTTGTCGCTCCGGCGCGTTCACGAGCGGCCGTTTCTCGACCTGCCGCCCGACGTTTCCCAAGGCGAGGCGTACGACGTGGCCCGCGACGCGCTGGTGCAGCTCAACGTGATGGTGCGACGCGGCATTGAGCCGGACGCGCTCATGTACACCGCCCTCATCGCCACGATGGGGCGGGCGCGGTTGGAGTGGCAGGCGTACAAACTTTTCTCCCGCATGCTGGAGCAGGGGGTGCGGCCGCTGCCGGAGACGTACGTCGCCCTGCACGACGCCACCGCCCTGTCACGCCGGCGTCTGCGGCAGGACCTGCAGCTGAAAATTGAGGCGTCGCTGGAGTCGTTTCCCACGGAGCTGGCCGAGGCGGAGCTGGCCAACCGCCGTGAGCAGGACCGGCTCTGCGTGCAGAAGTTCGAGGACTACATGAGGGGCGTGCTGCCTGCCGCGCCGCCGCCGCAGCTCTCAGACATGCCGAGTGCGGCGGTGGAGGGCGGAAACGGCCTCAAGAACGGCGTGGAACCGCAGGCGGCGGCGGCGAGAGGCGGGCACGAGCAGCAAGAGCCGCAGCCCATTGCAACGATGCACATTCGAAACCCAACTGACGCGTGGAGCACGGCGCAGATGATGGAAGAGCAGCGGGAAAGTCACACGCAACGTGCACACGGGCGTGACAACATCGCCTCTCTTTACGAAGATCTTCACCGCCTTCACGAGGAGGAGCTGCGAATCTTCCTTGCGGCGCAACGGCAGCTGCGCCACGGCACGAAGGAGCAGTTGGTGCGCCGCGTGGTGGACACGGTTCCGGAGCGAAGTATTCGAGATATGTTGGAGCGGCGAAAACATTACTTTCGCTCCGTCGCACACGTCTTGGAAAACGACATAAATGCGCTTCGCCGCGAGGACGGTGGGGCCAGCGGTGCCGCACCCCCGCATGGCATGCACCCCCAGATCTCTACGGCCGATCGTACATTGACCGCCGCAGAAAAGGAGACTGTGGCGCCGGAGGTGTTGCACACCCCATGGGGGCTTCTGCGGAAGCCGATGAAGCGTCAACCGGACGCGCCTGCGCCGCGCAGCATGGAGCGACTGCAGCGCATTTGCCTATCCGCGGATGAGCTGCAGCTCATTCGAAGCAAAGGCGAGACAGGCGACCTCGACGAGCTACCGGAGAGTCTGCTGAGACGCTACGCGTATGAGTTCAACCTGGCCTGGAAACGCCGTATTCCACTCTCCCTGCTGGAGGCCGTGCAGTGGCACTGCACGACGTTCCTTCCGGAGCGGTTGGACGGGAAGGTGGTGGTGCGGCCCACCCCCGCCCTTCGCTTGCAGCAGGAGGAGGAGGGAATGCACAAGACGTTGGAGAATTACGAGGCCTTCCGCATCATTTCACAGCGGACGAACAACCTGCAGGTGGTGGACCACAAGGAGATCAATTTGCACCTCAAAAAGATACAGCGGGAGTTGCTGCGGAAGGAGCGCCGCGCGGAGGAGACACTTCGGCGGGAGCGTAACCTGCTGGACGCCGCCACCCTCGCGGCCTCGGCAAAGTCATTTAGTCCGCCGGGGGAGGCGCTGCCGACCGCCTCGCGGGTGCTTGGAACGAGTGGGGAGGCGAGTGTCGTCAGCCCACAGGCCCTGCCGTCCGAGGCGTCCACCAGCGTGGGCGGGGAGGCCTCTGCACAGGACGACGACGGTGAGCTGCCGCCGTGGGCCCTCTTCGGCGGCGCAGAGGAGTTTGACATCTCCACCGGCCGCTTCGGTGACCCTGACGTGGGCCGCTACCAGGAGCTTAGCGACGGGCGCTTCAAGCTGCTGCCTTCGCGCGAGGCACAACACAAGTGGGCGGTGGACCGTCAACTTTTGCCCGGCCCCCTGCAGGACAGCTTGCGGAGGGCGGAGTTGCAGCAGCAGCAGCGCCACGAGGCGGTTGAGACGCGCTACCAGCAAAAACTGCAGTACAATCGTTACCGCAAGTGGGACGCCTTCCTGCGCAAGGCCCAAGAGAGGCGACAGCAGGCGGAGACAGCCAGAGAAGGCGAGGGTGACGGGGATGATGTTGTGCGGCCACTGCCACCGAAGCGGCGTCTCTCGCAGCTGCTGCGCAAGGGCCGCGATAAGGCACCCGTGGAAGGCGCAGTGAAGGCCAAATACATCAGAAGTCTTTAACACAATCTCCTCGGCTTCGCCCGCTGCCTTCCCACCCGCTGCAGCTTTCACGACATGTTTCTTTTTCTTTCTTCTTTTTGCTCTCTATGTTTTAACTGAATCCGTTATTTTCCTCTTCTGTTCCCCCTCTGTGCGAGAGAGCCACGGCTATTCCTTGACCTTGTTTCCCTCTCTCTCTGCTCACTTGCCTCCATTCTGTTCCTCCACCATCTGCTTTTTTTTTCCTTTTCTCTATTCTTGGGCCCCTGTGTGGCCGACGGAAGGGAAAAGGCAATGAGTGGGGGAAAAACAAAGGAGGGCTTGCGTGGAACGGCAGTATGAGCCCGGTGCGGCGCCTGCACCTTCCTCCCCCAAGTAAGCACCGCCCTTGTGCCCCGCAAATGCACACTCGGGCGTACTCTCTTGGGGAAGAGCCACCGACGCAAATTGACGCCAACCGCCCCTCCCTCCACCCCCGTAACGCACCCGCCCGCAGGCACAGACGTGCAAGTGCGTTGAATCTCTTTCTTAGCACGCCTGCGAGCACGACGGGTTGTCTCACGGCACACTTTTCATTTCCTTCACAATGCGTGTATGTGCGTTTTGTGCCGCAAGTTTCTTTCGGATTTTGTGCATTTCTCTTTCTTTCGCTCCTGCCATCGTGGCCTCTTTTTTTTAAACAAAAAAAATTAAATTAAATTTAATACTTCTTTGTAACGTGTGTGCTTATGGGTGAAGAAAGTCACTCACGGCCGCACACGCCGGGTGGTGGCGCCCACACGCAAGGACCAGACACAACCCTTCAAGCCCGCCAGCAGGTGGCCACGCGCACGAGCGAAGAGGGAGCAAAACAACAACAACACCAAACACAAAGCTGGCATTGACACTCGTGAAGAAGACTTCAAAAGCCCTTCACGGCAAGACGCGAGCGTGTGTGCGTGCGAGGGAGACAGGGGCGCTCCACGTGCATCGACTGAACTTGAGAATGCGGAGTGCACCTCGTTGGGCGCTTTGCCTGCTTCTCGGCCTCCTGGCCAGTGCCGCTGCGGGCGCGCAGGGGCCGGGGGAAGCCTTGTCCCGCAGCGAAGTGAACCTCACCTTCGACGGCGAGTGGACGGCCGCCTCCGTGCAGACCGTGGAGTTCAGTGCCGCCGTCCAGAGCGACGTCGGCGTCGCCCTCGGCATTCAACGCGCCGCCGCGTGGTTTGACGCCGACCCCGCCGTCGCCGTCGACCCCGGCGCCGTCGTTGTGAATTTTGTTGTCTGGAGCGACCCCGGCACCGTGGCGAACCGCCTGCTGCAGAATGCCGCATGGGCGGCGACACAGGCGTACTACACGACGGCCACTACGAAAAGTCCGGCATCGCCGTTTGTGACCAGCGCCCTTCGCGCGGAGGAAGTCACGCTGCATTTTACCGGGGCCGGCTGGGGCAACGCCACGGCCATGCCAGACGCGGAGCTCTCAGCGGAGGTCGTTAGTGACGTGGATGCGGTGACGGATGTGACGGGCACACCGTCGGCGCTAAAGGCGGTTTTGGTCGGCGGCGTGGATCGCACGAATGGGGTGAGCTTCAACCTTGAGGTTTACTCCGCCGGGATTCAGAACATCACCAGCCTGCTTTCTTCCGCGTCCACGTACGCGTCTCTGTTGAATTACTACAAGACGAATACAAACCTGGACGACGGCGCACTGGGCGGCGTCAGCCGAACCCCGGCGTCCCCCGCGGTGGAGGAGTACCGCACGCAGCTGCAAATGGTTTTTAGCGGATCCTGGCAGCTGGTTTTGCTGGCAAATGAGACCGAGGTGGCGTTAACGCTGCGGTTCATCCTTGCAGCGGCGCTGAACGTGGATCCTGCCCTGGTTGTCGTCGGCATTATCGGCACAACTGCCTATCCGTTTAATCTGAATGCCACGGTGTATGTGGTGCATCTGTTTGACTTCGACGCCGGAAACATTCCGGCAGCGGCGGCCGCAGCGGAATATGCGGCATTGGTGAGTCTCTACATGGCAAGTGGAGGGGATCCGAGCGTCATCCCTGTCTTGCTGGCCGCGGAAATCGTTGTGGCCAAGCCGCAAACGGGCATGTCCGCCGTCCCGCTCATCTCTACGCACAACATTGTGGTGTCGGGCACCCGCTGGCAGATCGTACTCCCCGCGGTGGGGGAGGCCGTGTTAGATGAGGCGCTTGCAGCGGATCTTGCAGGTCTTGTCCCGTATGGTCCAACCCTTGTGACGGTTCTGCGAGACGCGGTTAGTGCGGACGGCGGGCTGAACTCCCGGGTGATGGTGACGCAGCAAGGGGACGTGCATATTATTCCCTATGCGCTGGATGCCTTCTTTACGCTGGCGCCGTCTCTGCCCAACACCGCGCAGCTTTACGACGCCAGCTCCAAAAGCAGGGTGGTTGAATCCATCAAAGTCGTCTCTGCCTCCGAGGTGCAGGCAGGCGAGGGCAGCACGTGCACGCCGCGTTGCGTGGGCGTCTCCGTCATGGGCGGGTGCCTCCTGGCCCTCACCATCGTCGCCATGGTCGGCTTCTGCGTGTGGCGCGTCTTTGCACGCTACGTCACCCCGAAGCGAATTAACAGCGACTTGGTCCGAATCCCCGCGGAGCAAAATCCGTTTGTCGCCACCGTCTCAATGCGTGGCTTGAGCAGCGCCTCTCTGAGTTCCGCGGCCAACTTCGCGGGCGGGGCGCTGGGCCCAATGTACCCGCCATCCACCGCGGAGGTGGCGCCCTTCGGCCCGCGGCTGCCCACCTCCACGGCGGCCGCGCCGGAGTCCCGCATGACGTCATACGTGGCGCCGGCGCCCAGCTCGTCTGTGGTGCGGCAGAGCAACATCATCATCCCCAGCGCCGCCGGCGAGAAGGAGTTCGAAATCATTGTGATACCTCGCGCCGAGTATGAGCGAAGCCACAGCCCGCAACTGTAACTTCGACGCCTGCAGCGAAGAGGGGAGGAATTATATAAATGTACACACACACACACACACACACGGCGCGATAGCCGCATTGGAGGCGTTGTGGGAAATTCAGGCGTGGCTGCAGGCAGAGTTGCCCCACACACGGGGAAAACGTGGAAGGCGGTAGCCATCAACGCCGCAAGAAAGCAACTACAAGCATGGAGGAGAAGTGAAGCAAAAGAGCACACAAACAAACAAAAAAAGATTCCAGAGAAATAAGCTCCTCACTTGACAGTACCCCTGCCACTATTGATCGGTGTGAATATTTAATTTTTCCATTCTTTTCTGCGTTTCCCTCGTGCACGCATGTGCGCTTTACCGCGCTTTTGTATATATTCTCCTCACTTTCTGTCGCATGTGATTAGAAGATGTCTTTTTTTTTATGGCGCCGTTTTACTTTCGATTCTTTTTATTATCTGTTTAACTTCGGTGCAACCGAAGCGAAGGCCTGTGCCCTTCCCACGGGGATGTGTGAGCATATTTAGCTGTGTGAGCGTGTGTTGTCGGGGGGACGCGTGGCAATGCTCTCTCTTTCTGCTTGCCACCGTCACTTTTTTTCTCTCTTTTTTTTTTTGCTTCGCTTCTTATTGCGTGGGTGATGTTTCCTTTCCCAGCTCCTCTCTTTGTATGTTGTTGCTGTCTACTTTTTTCTCCCTCTATACTTCGCTCTTTCTGCCCTTCTCTTTTTTTTTTGATTTTGTCGGCTTTCAGATGTGTGGAAATACCGCCTGCCCCTCCCTTTCTGCCTCGCGCCTTCCTCTTTCGGCTGCCGGTGGTGGGTGGCTCACGCTTCATCTCTCGTTGATTTCTCGCTTTCTTTTTTTTTCCTTTTTTTTTTCGTCTTTCTCAGCGCCCAGGTGGCTTTGGCGCCCCGCAGGAGAGCGAGACAGAGAGAGGGAGGAGACCAGCGCACAGGGCCGTGGCTGCCGTCCCACTGTGGTGCGGAGCAGAAGAAGGAGGTGGGGCTCCTCAGCTGCGGCCGCGGCGGGAGGCGAAGAGCACGGAGAGCCTCGTAGGGAGTCGCCGCGGCAGTCATGGCTCAGCGCGCCGCCTCCCGGCGGACGACGGAGGACTGGCAGGATGCCTTCTACGGCCTGGAGGAGCGGCACCGCCAGCTGCAGCGGCGGTTCAACGAACAGGAGCAGGAGCTGAAGCTGCTCAAAGTGTCGCAGCGGCGGGATGCGGCCGCGCCGGCGTTCGCCAGGGGCGGCACCCCACGCACGACGCCGCTTGCGAGTGGGCGAGCCTCCCACGTGCGGGCGGCGCCGTCGGCGTCGGTGAGGGCGAAGCAGCGGGCCTCGCTCGCAGGCACAGAGGGCGGCGGGGACGGAGGACTGGCGCGTGGGGCGGCACACGACGGCCCGCCCGAGCGGAATGTCGGCCTCCTCGCCGTTCCCGCAGCGGCGCGGCGGGCGGACGCGGGCGCAGCGGCCGCGGAGTTGACGAGCGCCTGGTCGGCTGCCCCCCCGCCGGACCCGTCGATGGTGTGGGGGATGGAGAACAGCATCCAAAACTACGTCACCGCCAACGCCCTCTACCACGCGAACGAGGAGCTGCGCCAGCGCCTTGACGACGCCGTCGGTTTCGTGAAGACGCTGCAGCACGAGTTGGCCTCCAGCCGCAGCCTGGCGAAGACAACGCAGCAGCGGCTGGAGGAGGCGACGCAGCAAATGCACCAACTCGTGCGGGAGCGGGACTTGGCTGGACAGAAGCTTTCCGTCTCACAGCAGGCCGTCGTGGAACTCGAGCGAAGCCTGAAGAATCACGCCACGGAGGAGGAGCGGATTCGCTTTTCGCTGGAGTCGCAGATCACCGAGTTGCGCAGCCGCCTCGTCGTGGGGGCTGACAGCAACGAGCTGCTCACGCGCGACGTTCGTACCCTGCTGACGGAGGTCAAGGAGAAGGCGTCGGAGGCACAGAGCCTGCGGTCGAAACTCACCCTCGCAGAGGCGGCGCTGTCGTCGCAGAAGCAAAACAATGAGAATCTTCTTGTGGAGCTGCGCAGCCTCAACACGCAGTTGATTAACGAGCGCAAGCGGCTGCTGTCCATGACCCGCGAGGCGCAGCTGGCGAGTTTGCGTGCCGAAGACGCGAAGGATGTCGAGGCGCGACTTGCGGAGGCCGTAGAGAGCCGTGGGGCGCTCGAGCGTGAGCATGTGCGGCTAATGGAGAGTTTGGTTGACGTCACGGAGAGCGCCTTGCGGCAGGCGCGGGAGGAGGTGCGGCAGGACATCGCCGACTGGCGCGCTTCCGCCGCACACTGGGAGGAGGTGTCGCAGCTGCTCTACAAGGATATCGCGCAGCGCACGCAGGCGCATCTTCAGTGCCGCGAGGAGTGCGAGGAGGCGAAGCGGGACCGCGACGACGCGTCCATGGCGCTGCGGGAGGCCTGGGAGGAGCTGAAGCTGTGCCGTGCGAAGCTGGACATTGTGTGGCCCACGCACCGAGACGACACACGTGATTTGACGCCGGCGGAGATGCTTTCCACGTTTGGAAACTACAGGGCCGTCTTTCGACAGAGGCGAGACACGACGACCCGCCGCGGTGGCGCCGCCGCGACGCCGGAAACGAATGACGGGGACGAAGGCGCAATCACCGTGGAGTTGTGCGAAGCGCCGGTGGAGGAGCAGCTCCGCGAGCTGCACGAGGCGAATGGGGCGCTGCTGGCGGAGCTGGAGCAGCTGCGCATCACGAATGAGTTGCAGGCGGAGCGGCTGCGAAAAATGGAGACGCGTGTGCGGCAGGAGCGGGAGGAGGTGCAGGTTTCCGCGGAGGCGTTGGGGCAGCGGGAGGAGGCGACGCAGCGGTTTCTGCAGACGCAGCTTGACCACGTGGCGTTCCTCGAGGCGCAGGTGCGCTCGCTGCGCGGCTTCGACGTGGCCCCGAACATCTCACTGCGCGAGCTCAGCCCGGGGGAGACGGTGTTTGAGCTCTTTCTTGGGCAGCTTCTCTCCACCGAGACGCCGGCGGGGGTGGGCCTGCGTGACACCTTCCCGCCGGTCTTCTGCTCAGTGGACTTCCTGCTACACGAAACCATCACGACCCCCATTGTGACGGGGCTCAACGGCTTTCTTGACACGACGATCGCCTTCTGCGTCGCGATGGATGCGCTGCTGCAGTGCTACCTGCAGTCGCGCGAGCTGCTCGTGCAGCTGCACCGTGTGCGCCCGCAGGACGAGATTAACGAGATTGCGTCCACGCAAAGCGACAAATGCGACGCGCTTTTTGCGGAGCGCCTCTACGCGACGCTGGCGGAGGGCTCCGTCAGTTTGTGGCCGCTTGTCTCGGACGAGAAGTGTCGCGACGCCCGGCGTCCCACGCTCCGCGGGCATATTCCTCTGCGCACCCCCGACGGCCACCACATCGCCTCGGTGGAGTTCACTGTGACGGTGCGGACCCCGTTTAGCGACGCCTTCCGCGCGTTGGCCGCCGAGGCGAGTAAAGGGCGGCACCTGCAGCACCCGCAGCCGCCTTCGGCTGCGGCAACGCCTGCGGAGACGAACACGTCACGCGGCGAGGGGCGGATGCAGTTGGTGCCGACGAGGCCTCACACGGAGACCTTTGGCTCGGTCTCCACGACCTCCTCCTCCTCAACGTCGCTGCTGGAGTCGAGGTCGCACGACCGGACAGTCGGCTTTACGCTTGTTCCGCGTGCCGCCGCGATGGCCAGCGTCTCTTCTTCCTCTGCGTCGCCGACCCCCATCCGCTCGCTGCTGGTGGATGTGTGCAGGCTGCATTTGCCGCCCAGTCTGGCTCCCGTCCCGCGTCTCTCGTGCTACTACGCGCTGACTCCGCTTGGGCGCGACGTGTACCTTCCCGCCCCACCAACCCCGCGGTACGAATGCGAGTACCTGCAGGACGGCGGCAGTCACGGAACACGCTTCCCGATCGCCTCTGTGGGGGAGTTACTGGCGGTGACGCGTGAGCCCTTCATGCTGTTTTTCTTCGACGAGTCCTCCCCGGCGGTGCGCAGCAGTGAACGACGGGGCGACGGCCCGTACTGGGCGATGGCCATGGCCGAGTGGCGACTGGCGCTTGAGCGGCCAGAGGAGTATGTCTCACTGGAGTTGCCGCTGATGGATCAGAAGGGGTGCCCTGTTCAGGGAGCCTTTGTGCAGGTGCGGTTACTTGCCACAAGCAACGCGCAGGACGCCGAGACAGGTTTAGCGGCGGCCCTTGAAAGAGCCCGTGCTGCCACGGCAAGCTTGCGAGAGCAGCCGCAGCAATATAGACACCCCAGCGCCGTGGCGACCGTTCTCCGGGAAGCTAGGGACTCAACTTCCAGAAGCAGCGCCGCCGCCACCGCCGCCGCTGCTGCGGCTGCAGTTTCGGGGAATGCAGCCCCTCAGAACACGCCAGGCGGTAGACGCACGTATGACGACGCCTTGGATTCCGTTGACCTGGAGATGATCCGGCGGCAGCTGGACGGCTAGTGCCAAGTGCGGTGGCGCGAGTGGCGGGAAAGACTGAGGAGTGGGCGGGGGCTGTCCGTCGCAGGCGTAGGATGCGTGTGGGAGTCAAGCCAGTGGAGCCTCTACGATGGGCTGGGTGTGTGTGTCTGAGAGCCCTGCGCTGCACCGCCCCTGCTTAAATACGCACACACAAACGCACACAAACGCCCACCTTATACTCACAGTGACGCTTGTGGTGGCGCTAGAATTTGCTGCATATTTTTTCTGCTGTCTCGATATTTATGTCCGTGTGTGCATGTGCGTTTCTCTTTCAGTTTCTGTTTGCCTAGACCTCTTTAGTAGTGGCCGTCGCGCCGTCGGACGCGGTTTTTTCTTTTGTTTACTGTTGTTTTCACTTCTCCTTCCTGAATTGCCCCTGCGGGGGCGGCAGGGCGGTTATGCACCTCCACCACCAACAGCAACGACGAAACCCAAAATATCTTCCTTGTTTCTTTTTCCCCAGCCATTTTTGCGTTGCGGCGAAGAAAAATAGAGGCGCCGCGGAGGGCACACCACTCGCACCCGCGAGCAGCAGCGGCAGCAGCGGCAGCAGCTGCAGGAAAAATGCCGCCACCCCCACCAGCGAAGGCGTCGACAGCCACGGCGCACGGCGCCACACTTTTGAACGGCAAAAACACCACCGCAGGGACGACGGCGGCGGCGGCGAGGGTTGCGCAGGAGAGAAGGCGCCCATCGGTGCCCAGCAGCGCCCCGCCGCGGCCCGTGGAGGCCCCCGCGCGGGAGGCGGAGGAGGAGAACGCGCGGCGCAGAGGACGGACCTTCCAGCGGAGGGTCCTGCAGCCCTCCAAGTCGGCCACGTCGGATGCGAAGACGGAGCAGGTGCCGCGGCCACTGCCACTGCCCTCTCGCACCCCCGCAACAGTGCTGCCGGGGGCCGCAGCCAAAACGACTGCCGTGACGAGCACTTCTACAAACCGGGTTCAGCCGGTTCCCTCGCCGCAGCCGCAGGCACTGCCGGCGTCCATTTTTGACGACGTGCCTGTGCAGGCCAGTCTGGAGTACCTGACACGGCCCCATCGCTCATGGGACAGCGCCGTCAGAATTAGGGAGCGTGCAGGCAGGAGGCAGCAGCGAGAAAGCGCGCGTCGTGCGTGGCGCGGCAGCAGCAGTCTATCTACTTCCGTGGCGAGCTCCGCAAGCGTGTCGTGTGCCTCCGTAAATAGAGCGATGAGCCCGTCCAGTCTTAGTGTTCGTAGCGCGCCCCCGACCTTTGGGCACGCCCACGCCTCGGTGTCTCCTGGCGGCACGCAGGGGAGCGGTACGCGTCGCCGTGGGCGCTTCGGCGTGTTGCCGAGCCTTCAGCCCGATCCGGGAGGTCTCGCCGTTGGCGGGAGCAGCCTCTCGGTCTCACTGGCGCCTTCGGCGCTGCCACGTCTGAGGCCGGTGTCACCGGGCCAAACCTCCTCCCCGGCGACGCGGAATCCGTTTGTACTCGCACCCGCCGAGAGGCGAGGCGCAAACACGCCTGCGTTGGCCAAGGTGCGGGAGTTCAGCTTTACGATGCAGTAGACGCGGCTCGATGGGCTGTATTCAGGTGCTGTGGCTCTCTCTGGTGCGGGGGCGGGGACGGGCCCATGAAAAAGAGATGCACAGAAGAGAGGGAGGAAGTAAAAAGCACCCACACACATATATATATATACATAAGGTTTTATTACTGTCATTATTGTCTTCAGTCTTCTCTTTCTAAGAGTCGCCTTGCCGCTCTCGCTCGCACTGCAGCTGTCGGTGTGCCACTGTGGCAGTGTGTGACATTTACTGTTTTTTTTTGTTATTTAAAGCATTTTCACCGTAGTTGCACTTCTGGCGTCTGCCTGTGTGCCATGTACAACATCCTGCACCACTCTCTATTTCTCTCGCCACGCATGGAAGCGTGTACACCTTTGTTGAGCGGCGGGGAGGAAGGTATTGGTTAGCGATAGTGCCACAGTTACATGGCGACTGCGGGCCTTAGTGCGGCGACGGTGGAGTTGCTGCAGTCCCTCAGCATTGACCCGAAGGACTTCTCCAAGGCACGGGCCAGGTACGACAAAGTACGCGAGGAACTAAGGGAGAAGGGACTTGCGGCGGGTGGCGCAGCGGCGGCCGCGGAAGCCGCAGAGACGCTGCAGCGCCTCACCGATGCCTGGGGCGAGTACCTCCGCCTCACGCAGGAGCACTTTCAAAAGATTACTAATGCCGTTATTGAGGAACTGCTGGAGAAGACGCGGGAAAAGGCAACTGCGGCGGAGCGTGCCGAGAAGTTGAATGAGCTCTGCGCCATTGGTGAGAAGTGGTACATCCGCAACGAGACATACTTTGAGTTTGGGGATCCGGAGCAGTTGGCGTTGCTTGTGAAGGGCGCACTAGACTCCTCCAGCCGTGTGATGCGTTTGCTTGGGTTGCAGCTGGCCCGCATTTGCGCCGCGAGCGCGCGGTTCACGCGGACGCTGCTGGCGGGAGAGGGGGGCGGGCTCATCAGCCTTAGCTTTGACCGCGAGATTGCCACCGAGCTGGAGTACGCGCTTAACCTTTGCGCGCGCCTGATTGAGCTGCACGAGAGCGACCCGGTGACGTGCGCGGAAGTCCCCTACTGCTGGATTTGCCGCATTGCCTCCCTGCTGGACACGCAGGATCCCGTGCCGAATCTGCCGCCGAAGCGGAAAAATCAGGCGCTCCGCATTGCCATCAAATTACTTCGCTGCTTCCCTGCCATGTCGACGGCGGCCTCGCTGCACATCATTCTACTTCGCTACTGCATCCAGAAAGGCGCCGTCACGGCGGACGAGATGAAAAAAATATTGCACGTTATTTTAGACATCTTTGACCACGCTGAGACCCGGCAGTACCTCCACGACAACGACCTTGACGTTCTCTACGCCCCCTTTTTGTGCTCCGCCGACAAGAGCCCGGAGGCCAACTTAAACTTGATGAATGGGGCCAAGGAGCTGCTTGCCATGACGCTGCAAACGTGGGTGGGGGTTCTGTGGACGTGCTCGGAGACAAAGGGGCTCCGCGCCGTCATTGACATTCTGCACCTGCCGGGGGACCTGGACCGGAAGATGGTGCTGCTCACGCTGTTCAACAAGGTGCTTTGCCAGCTGGCGCCGCACCGCGGTCTGACGCTGATGAAGACGTGGCAAGGCGTGGAGGAGAACAAGCGCAGCACTTCGGTGTCCGACGCCGTCCTTCCGGACGCCGCCTCCAGCTTCACCGGGGCAAGCTCCCCGCAGTTGCTGAACGATGGCATTATAGGCCAGACCTTTCCGGAGATCACGTTTCCCGGCCAAAGTGAGCTGCTCGACGGTTTCGTGCCCACAACAAAGGCGATAGGTTACCACGTTCTCGACCCGCTGCTGGGGAGGGTTCTGTTGATGCTCTCGCACCACGGCCTTCCGCTGGCGTTGGTGTCGATGATTGGAGACGCTCCCTCAAGTCGCCTGCTCGCATTCACCGCCTCATCACTGCTGCAGGACATATTTATGCTCATGGACACGGTGCTCCCGGTGCGTCCTGTGAAGCGACTGCACACGGCCCTGAATGAGGCCGTTGGGAGCTTTGTTCTTCAAGGAGATTTGGCGTTTAGCAGCGGGCTCACCACCCGGCTTTTTCAGGACCACAAAATGATGAAAAACGTGACACTTTCCCCAACCGTGGCTGACCCGGATACGATTTCGGGTGAGCGGATAAACATCCCATCGGCAACAACAATTTCGGCGTATGGGTTGGGCGACGTGGGGCTGGATGACGCGGGCTTTGCGGGGCTGCTGCGGGAAACAGGCGTGGACAAGGCAAGTAACTTTCTCGGCTGGGACCACGACTTGCTGCTGCTGCTGGTCCATGGACCGCTGCGAAGCCCGCCTCGGTTTCAGTGGGTCCTACGAGAGACCCGCTTCTTTCACAAGCTTCTTCTCTTTTACCAGCCCCTCTTGCAGCCCAACGCGCGGACGTTTGTCTCGCTGCGCACGGAGGAGTGCTCGCCGCAGCTCTGCAGCCTTGGCTTGTCGTTGCTGGATTTATTCCTCTCCACCAGGGTGGGAACGGAGGTGCTGGACGAGTTTGGTTTCACGCCGGCCATTGTGGAGGGGCTGCAGGAGGTGATTGATGGCAAACCGCAGGTGTTGAGCCCGCAGCGTCTCGGCACGCGGGTGGGGCAAACGGTACTTCGCATGGTGGGCCGCTACTCGCTCTCCGCGAATGGGCTGATGGCGATGCGGGAGCACAACATGTTTGGCATGATAAACAACATGTTTGCCAAACTCTCCGGCGAGCGGGCGGCGGCACCCGCCCCGGGAGACACCTTGCAAGATGTATGTCAGCTACTGTTACAGTTCCTCTACATTGGTGCGGTGCCCAACTACGGAGTGTGCGAGGAAATTCGCCAGGCGTTTCGCGCTGCTCTCTGCAATGACGTGAACTCCGTCCGTCTCTGTGCGGCGACGCAGCTGCGCAAGGCACTCTGGCGCGATCTCTCCACCTCCATGCGTTGGGGGATAGAAACGTTGGTTCAGGCCCTCCACGATGACTTCTACAGCGTCGTGGAAAGTGCCTTCAAGCTCCTGCTTAGTATTTGCCTCTGCTCTGACGAGGCGTTGGATTACCTCATCTCCTTGTCCCCCACCGTCCTTATGGAGAGTGAGGTCATTCGCCAGCACGCCAAACAGCTTGATCTCAATACGCTGCTGTACTGTATCGTGGGGCGATCCTCAGGCTTTCGCTTTCTGCAGTGCTACGGCTGGGTAGAGGAGGAGCTGCGTCGCTGGGAGGAGTCCGAGTCCGCCAACCACGTCCGCCTCGTGGAGCGCTTGCAGGCTCGCGAGGCGGTGGAGGCCCGAGCGGACTTCACACAGAACTTGGCGGGCCGGTGGTGGCAGCACAGCCGCACCCTCTCAGACCCAAGTTACCCTTTGTACAGACCGGCAGTTTTGCCCGCAACGATGGCAGCGTACAGTCCTCCCAATGAGTCTGGCTCGGGCTTCTTCCCCAGCCATTTCGCCGCTGTTCTGTGCAAGTCCAACGAGGGATGCACGCTGTTCAAGCACAGTGATCTTTGGCAGCGGTCGGTGCAGCGCATTATGCAGCAAATGCTTCCGCCGGATATTGTCTACGATGATAACGGCGACGCGAGGAGTGGAAGCAGCGACGACGACCTCGATGACGCGGAGCGGGCTCTGAATGAGGAGGACCCATCCTTCTGGGGCCAATTGGGGGCAAAAATAGGCACAGCGGAGGCTAGGGAGCCTGCTGAGCCGGGTGAGTTACGCTTGTTGCGGGCGGGGCGCTTGCCTTGCTCCCGCAGCGCGCATTTGCTTTCCGCCGCACGGGGTTATAAGAAACCAGGACGCTCCTACCTCCTCGCATCTGCGGGAAACGTCGCGGAGCTGAAAGATGCCATTTTGTGCATTTGCCACGCCTCTTCCAGCGACACGGGCTACGCGCTGATGCGCAGCGTTCCAGGGCTGCATAAACGCCTGAATGCCCTGATGGTGTTTGGGGCAACCGTCTCCGTGCGTAGTATATGCTTCGTGGGGGAGTGCATACTGGCGCGCTCCAAGCGGTGTGCCGAGCAGCTCTCCGGCATGTCGCACTATGTACTCCATGAGAGCAACGCCTACACAAGCGCGGACGGGGTGCCGTACTCTGTGGCCTTCTCCCACATCAAACCGTCGAAGTGGACCCCCATCGGACGCCCCGCAGACCACGGACAGGCCTCCGCGCTCTACTTCCTCCGCCAGCAGGAGACGGCGGACGCCGCCGAGGAGGACCAGCTCCCACTGTTGGCTTCCATGAGATCCTCGAATGCACTCTCACAGTCGGCACGACGCGTACTGGAGCAGGTTTGCGCCCTCTCCAACCCAGTAAGCCGGGAGGGTGCGAAGAAAAAGTTATACCAAGTGATGAAGCACCAGCCACAGCTGTTTACCGACCCACGCGTGCGTAAACTCGTCATTGGGGCCACCCAAAGGTTTCGTATGCACCACGCGGAGCGGAAGTTTCTTGCGGATCTTCTTGAAAATGCACCCCTCGCCACGCCTGTGCCCGCCGCCCGTCGGGCGACGGTTTTACTTACCGCTGCAACACCGCCGAGCTGAAAGGGAGGGGAGAGGGGGGGGGGAAAGAAACGTGAGACTTTTGGGTCTGTGCGTTGCTGCGGGGTTTCGGTGATGCTGGCGGGGCCGAGGAAACTGCCCGATGCACGCTGCTGCATTGCATGGGAGTTTCAGATGGAGTTCTTTTCCCCGCTGCCTTGATTATTGTTGCCATTTTCTCCCTCTTCTTCTTCTGTTGTATGTTAGTAGTAGTTGTTGTTGTTGTTTTTTTTCGATGCGTAGAGCAGAGGCCTTTTCGCTGCTGCTGCTGCTGCTGCTGTTGCTGTTCTTCTGCCGCTTCTGCGTCGAGTGGGGGTTGGCGGGAGGGGGCCTTATTTCTCGGCTGCCTGCTGTGCGTCTTTCTTTGATTTTACCTCTTCAGCATCCTTTTTTTTTTTGCCTCTTCTTCTTTCTTCGTGTTGTTTTCCGGCGGTGCTCGGGCGGAAGTAAATAACGCCCACCGCGTGCTTCGGAGGCGGCTGACGGGGTGCGACACGCGCGGCGGGGAGGTTCGTTTGACGAATGGCGGAGGCTTCCACGGC